AAGTCCATCTACATCAACCGGCAGTGAACTGCAGACAGATGACAGAAGGATAGGGAGTGGATTTGGAACCAAGTGGATTTCCTCTATCGAGTGGGGAGAGACATTCATCTGGTTCCAAATCCACCAGGGAGGTGGACGTCTTGTAAGGGCTCACCTCTTGCCGATCGGGCACGGGGACAGGATATCGTATTCTATGCATATTTCGATCATAAATTCATTCACGAGGCGCTTGTCCTGAAGCAGCGGATCCATCCAGACTCAACTCAATTTTAACCATGACAACCAATTAGTTGTTTAATTAAAGCAGATAGGCCTGTCGTCCTTAAAAAAAAAATCGAAATTAGAGGTTGATTTGCATACTGGGTATATTGGGTGGCATTAATGTCTTTACGGGAAAAGAACCTGGAAAAAAAAAACTGACAGAAAAATTTCGGTTCTGAAAGGATTAAGTTCCCTCGCTGGAGACGGCTGAGTCGAGCATTGGAATTGCGCATGCGCGAGGCAGACGGGAAGATCTGAGGAGTACGATCGAACGCAACCTGGTAGTCCAGCAATCCCGTCGGCATCGATTCTAATCGCAACCGATTAGACACTTTCAGCGCACCGTGTTTTCGGAGCTGGCGGCGGTAGTAGTGACACCTTCCGGCATTGCTGGAGTGGTGTGGCTACCGCCCAGCTAGCTATCGCAACCACTCGTAGGTGATACCGAGGTAGCAGCCGCCACCGCTAATAGTTCCAGCTGGTGCAGAAAGAAGAAGTAAGTGGGAACGGGTGAGAGCGTCGTTCCGATAAATTCCAGTCGGCGAGATTTGCAGTAATAACAAATTATGATCGATTTCCTCTCCGTCATAGGAAAGGGAGAATGAGAAAGGACGGCAGACCTTCCCGCACCATCAAAAAAACGAAGAGGGTTTAGGGCAGCTAAAATGACTGTACGTCACCGGTTGCACGAGCCGACGCGTACGCTTCTCTGATCGTATTGCTAAGTTTTGCTCCCACCCATGCGCAGAGTAGATATCGGGACGAAATCATTCAGCCTCTTGCTTTCGTTCCGTATCTTAGACTTATTGTACAATAAAGGAGGAATGGAACCGTGAGAAAATAACCGTGTTCCCGTGTCGTAACGTCTGCGCGACGTTTTTGCATGCAAAGACGTTTTTGCAACGTCCGTAAAGTCGACGCCACGAGAGATATTACAGGGAAGGTGGAAACCGTGGATATCGCACAAAAATAGGCTAGAAGACTAGGGAAATGCCAGGTCCACAACGGCGAATTTTCCCCATCTCATTAAATGTCCCTTCTCCCGATCGTGATGGCTCGAGGCGTCCACTATACACGTCAGTTAAATAAAGCCAAACGGCTATTAATTCCTCTACCTTCGGCAATTTCTTTAGAGGAAACTTTGAGAAAGACGCGCGTCACGTCGGGAAAGTTACGAAAAGTACATTCTACAAGTTCTCATCGTTAATTTCTCTTTGGAAAACTAACAATACTCCGTCGTTTGATGCCAACTCATACTTCGGAATAGTCTCCGTCTTTGTCATCACCTAAATTGCTTCTTTAGATTCACTCTTGGAAAGTAGTAACAAATTTTTCTCTGGGGAGATGTCGACCTCACAGGAAAATCGCCGCTCCCATAGCAGCCTCACTGGAAAATATTTGCCCGAAAAAGTTTTTGACCGTACAGGAGTCGTTGGGGTCATACATATTTTTCACAAACATTTATAAGTTTATCTACTGTTTACTTCCCTCGTAAAGCCATGAAACTGACAGGCCTCGATGTTTATTTACTAAACCGAGCCATTTTCACCGAGTGTATGGAATGGTGAAATAAGCGAATAAAATATCACCGGATTAGCACGAAAAATATGTGCATGTAGTAAAAACAATGCAAAAGCATGGCACAACTGGTATTTCTCGCTGCCAAGGCAGACGCATGAAAAAAAATCGATTATTCGAACTTTTAAAATCAATCTCGTACCACCGTGCAGAGTTAGATCCGTTCCCAAGTTAAAAGCACTTTTCTGGTTTCGTTTTTTTTTATATCTTGTTTCCTTGGGCATCGGTGACATCAGCTCTTCTTTAATGTAAGTTATGACTCACAAGTTTTTCAGAAAATCTTCGGCGCGGTTTTTTTCAATTTTGAAAGTCGGTTTGTTTGATAATTTTTTTAGGTCAGATATTTTCGGTATCTCGTTCGCGTTTATCGATTCGAGGTCTCACGTAACGAAACATCACAACATTTTAAGGAAATATATAGGCCTCCCGGGATACTCGATGCGCTTTCTCGTCTCGAATCTCAGAACTGACGAACGGTTGACATCGGTTGTATCATCGTATCCATGGTTTCCACGTTAGCGTACGTGCACGATAGAATTTTTTTTTTTCGAGCTACATTGCAATAGCGAAGTAGGATATATGGAGGCATTTATTCCCGGCTGGAAGCGGCGTGGCGGAACACACCGGAAGGAATGGAATAGGCCACACCCCAACCATCCCGAATACTTTATATTCACACGTACTCACCGGGATGATGATGACGGTGATGACGATGACGTTCGGCGAGCAGATTTCGCAAGGAGCGGAACCTTCACGCATCCGATGCGATCAGAATCGGATCGAAGTCGGGAATAAATCGAACGGCATACGGAAAGAGAGGGGAAGAGAGAGGATAAACTCCTCGTGTCTTTCCGTCTCTTCTCCCTTTTGTTCTGGATACGGGGGGAGACTGATTGCGACAGGGGCATAGATCCCTCATTGATGGATTGCCTACCCCTCACCCCATGATGTTCCCGAGACGTGCTGCACCCGAACGAGATTGAATCCCTCTGAAATCGATCGGAGCGAGAGAACCGACTCACCGGGTCCATCGACTTCTGCGAGGAGACTCGAGTGGTCGAGGAGAGGAAGGTGGCACGTTCTTCCCTGGGTATTCCTCTGGGGTGCACTAAGGTGCGCATGGATGGTTGTTGTTACCTTTATATGGTTTGGCGCATGTCTCCTCGTCTCGTCTTGTTCCCTAGCCAGCCTACCTGCCCGTAAGCTCAGCTCGTTCTCTTCAATCGATGCATTCCAAAGACACGAGTATTCCCTTACCTTGCCCTACCTCACCTCTTGACTGCTTCTTTCTCGATTTTTTTTGCGCGTTGTCTCGTGGTTCCTATACCTTCTCTAATTTGTAACCGGAAAAAAACCTCCGTTCGTCACTCGTGTTGGCTTTCGCAAGGGAAGAACGCATAAATTCAAACCTCAATTCAAAACCACTGCTATTCGTATGCCGTGCGAAGGTAAAGAACTTAAAGGATTTTCACGGTAGAGTCAGGAATATATTCAGCAAGAAGGAAGCATGACAAAAAAAAAACCTATTATTGTTCTTAAAACAAACGGATTCCGATTCAAAATGGGACGTGGAGCTATGAAAGTTGAGTCTTTCACATTGCTCTTTTCTGCAGCTACAAATGCTCTAAAGTAATCTGAGTCCACTTACCGGGAGAGTGATTCTTGAGTGAGAATGGGTTGAAAGTGAACATGAACACGATGGAAGAAGGTATCATCTGCGTGTGACGCCCGTGTCCGGCTGTCTGATAGTAAACATAAAAAGTGTCTCATGCAGTAAAAAAAAAAAAAAAAGGGGGGGGGGGGGAAAGCTGTAAAAAAAAAATCTTGTCAAAGAGAAGGAAAGAAACAAAAAGAAAGCGGTTGAGCCAGGAAAAGAAAATTTTTCACCGGCAAGAGTGACTTTATGAGTAGAATTGACCTCCATAACTAAACAACACAGGTCGATGGGATCGGCCGAAATGTTCCCCATAAGATACCTTGAGGCTCGATCCTTCCAGAATTCTTTATAATAAAGAAATTCACTAGGTATTCATGATCTTGAAATTGAAGCAAGCTTTAGCTTAGCATAGGTTGCAAAGGCTTCTAAAGAATTTATTTTTGCATAGGTAGTCTCATAGTGGTGAGACAAAATTGGCATAATTACACGTGGATGAGGTCTCCAAAAGCAGAGAATCGAGCTTCAAGCACCTTCCAATACCTTCTCTAGGCCTATGAGGCATTGAAAATACAGTATATAGTTAGAATGGGCATATAAATAAAAGGCGGCGATGCTTGAATGCACTTGGGGGAAATGGGAAATCGATGGTGAAGCGATGCTGATATTTGGCATTTTATCTGAAAGAGACATACAATGAAACGAAGAGAGCATTAGGGCATTATGGAAGGAGGCACTTGAAGGAGATAAGATTGAGATAGAGAAAGACCTTTGTGCTCCCTTCTCCCTCCCCATTTCCCTTTCAGGAAAAAGGAACGAGAAAGATTCCTCGAGCATGCCACAAGAATCTGCTTCTCAGTCATGCCAGAGAACCTTTGGCATTTTCAAGGAGCTTAGGGAATCCCCCAATGGCTCGTTGCCGAGAATGAGATTCGAGTCCTTCCCAAATCAGTATTCTCCCTGCAGAACGTGGCTCCAGAGCATCATTTATCTGATTAATGATGAAAGATAATTGGGTTCTTGCATATTAATCAGTCCCTCTGCTTCCACCCGTAATTGGAGCCCGGGATGCATGAAAACAGGGAGATTGAATGACGACGAGGAAAGGGTTCCCGAGTTCCACCCACCGCTCTCCATCAATGCTGTTCGTGGGATTCGCCCTGTTCCGGAGGGACAAAGAGCCAAGTGACAGAGAATCCGGAAAACACTTCCAACAAAGGCTCGCTTCTTCTCCCGTCCTTTCAAGGCAGGAACTTCGCCTTGATGAACCGAAAGACCCTAATGAAACTTCTTTCTTGCATAATGCAGTAGAAGAAACGAAGGGATGGAGGAAGAGATGCAGGTCTTGCAATTCCGCTGAAGGCGAAGGGTTGAATAATGGAAAAGATATCTTTCTCTCTCGCTCTCTCGGATTGCATAAATAGAGATAGCGGAAGCCGAGACGGACAATTTACGTCTGTATATGCCAAGTAGATAATGAGCGTAATCGCATCCGGACGTGGATAAGTTATTCCTCTGGTTCCAGCCTGAACGAGCGTGCAGCACGCCTTTCCTCAGAAGCAAAAGCACCCCGAGTAATGGTGATGTCCATCCCAGCACTCCCCTGGTCCAATGAGACAGTTGAAGCGAGAAGGAAAGAAAGATGAGCAGAATATGCGCAGCCTGCAGGGAGGCGTCTCCCGCTTGTGTTCTATTTGAGCGGGCAAGACGCTTCCTTGGCTGAGAGCAACTTCGCTTCGATCCACGACTGCCTCCCGGAAAAAAAAAAAACGTTTTAATGAAATCCTCCTATACGATATTCCATCTCGTCATCGCCTCACTCTCTCATCAGTATCTGCGCCCCTCCATATCCCAAGTTGGAATCTAATCGCGATCTCAGAATAGGAGAGGAACTTTTCCGTCGATGCCCTCCGGACTGCAGCTGATTATGCAGCTGAAGGACCGCTCGGGGGCTTCATAGAGGAACGCGCGATCCGAAAATAAAAGAAACTGAAGAAAAGGAACCAGGGAAGAGCAAGGAGTGTTGAAGGCAAGGAATTTCAACCGCAATTTCGCCTCCTGTCATCTCGACAGCAAAAAAAAAAAGGGATCCAGCAACCCCTTTTTTTTCTTGTTCCTTCATTTCCTGCTGGTTTTCTTTTTCTTGTCCTTTCATTTTCTCTTTCTTTTCCGCAGCCTTGCAAGATGAGAAGGAGGGAAGGAGAGTATAGCCCACACAGGCTGCTTTCTCCTTCCTAAGCCCCATTGATTCTTCCATTTCCTGGGATATATCAACAGCACCCGTCCTTTCTTCTTTTTCCTCTCCTTCTCATCATTTCACAACAGGCATATCTATCCGAATATTGCATCGACCTCGATGGCTTTCTGTACGTCTTCTTCTCTTGTGATGTATGCTCGGCATTTCTACTTCAATTTTGCGGCTCGTCTGAGAGATGACGAATCTCGATCTCGCATCGAATGGAATAAAAGTTAAACGAATCGTCTGACGTGCTTAAATAAATATCACCGGAGGGGATGCAAAATCCTGCCCGGGGATAGAGAGATGCTGTTCCTACGCATGGAGTTTCCTTTGTCATACGACGAGACTCCGACAGAAGGAGATGAGAAAGCCTCTCTATTCTCTTGGGGTCGGATGTTGGCCGACAAAGAGAAGGGATTTCAGGGACTCTCCAGAAATAGGAAGAGAGGAGCGAAGCAGAAGAGAGGCGAAGGAAGAGGGGGGAATCAATACTTGTGAAAGATTAGGCCCATTACGGCCTTGCCACAGCATCCTCTTCCCAATTACGAGGAGGAACACCGCTGCCTATTCCGCGGGTGTCGGGAACGAACGGCCGAAGAGAAAGAACGCAATTCATTTTGGGCGGAGGGAGCAGGGCATTTCAATATCGACGGGTTCGTGGGGGCGATAAAAAGCTGCAGAGGCTGGAAGCAAGGAATGAGAATGAGGATAATCCGACGGGACTCTCATTTCGGCGTCTCCCGCTGTGCCGAGATTACGCCATGTCCTCCGACCATTCATCATCCCCCTAATCCCTAAGACGCCATTATGCTCCAGCTTCAGGTACTATCTCCTATTGGGGCACGCTCAGATGAACACAGATTCCATTTTTGGCAAGGACCTCGGTGTCCTTGAGGGGGCTCAGGGCCCCGTGAACGCGATAATCCGAGAGCAATCCCTTTCGCTTCCTTGAGCTCGGAATCATCTCCCCCGCTCCGAGGGGACAATCGGGAGAGAGAGAGACGATTTCAGACAAAATCACCTTTTGGCGGGCCTTCGTATATCAACTAAAGTTGATGTAATGGTCTACATTTGCATCTCCAGTGCCAATAAAACTCCTCTTTCCATAAACCATTTGCTCTCTCGTATGAGGCAGATATTGCTTCTCCCGGAGAGTCGAAGGCGAGATTATTGGAACTCGAAGAGGCCGGGAACGAAGAGGAAAAGAGGGAATTCCGCCTGAGGTCAGTCTACACTGGCATAACGGATGCAGAAGCATGGAATTCGGGGACTCGAATATGGATCCCTGAGACGGTTGGAGGAAAAGTTCCACCCCCCCCCCCTCCCCTCCCCCTCCCCCCTGCCTCTCGACCCATGAGAACTCGAGCAAGGGGCTTTTCATTATCGGAAACTCTTCCATTAGTGACATACATTCACCGAGGGACTGACAAGGAAAGACAGGGTGTGAAAGATGAGTCCCTCGGACTCAAATTTCCCTTGGGGTAACAGATGAGGGGTTTCTGATGGAACATGGAAAGATGACGCGGTCTCTCGCGTGAGCATCGAGCACTCAAGGAAATGAAGTGCTTTCGATGCAGGATTCATCTCTGGTCGGATCGCTCCGATGATCTCGTCGGCATCACACCCTATTTGTGCATTTCATGGGCGAGCAATTTTGGTGCGAGGGCTGAAATCGGCCGACTCCTCCCGAGGGACTCATCGATTCACGTATACGTCGCCGATTCGGAAAACTTTTTTCGGAGCCCCGTGGAAACGTCGCATACGGGCAGATTTCCTCCGGCATTCGAGCATCTCCATTCCACGAGAGGGAAACGGGATTAAACGGGGCTCACCTCCGTAATTCGGTCGTATCCTCTTGTCGTAGCCGGTCTGAAGAGCATCCAGGATGGCCGTGATGTTCACTTCCATGTTTCTAAAAAGAGAGGGAGAAAGAGAAAGGAAAAGGAGAATAATGAGAAGAGGAGTAGCGACACCTGCCAGAGATCTCATTGGCTAGGGCAATATCGATACAGGATCTCTCTCCCGCTCTCCTATCTCCTTCCCCAGATGTTTCCCTCCCTTCTTTTCGCTCTCCCCCCGTTTCATCCTTCATTATCCCTTCTCTTTCTCCTTTTGTTCTGGTCGTTTTGCGTGCACGTCTCCGAATCGGACTGATCCCAATAAATACCTGTCATTACGAGAGGAGAAAGGAAGGAAAGAAAAGAAAAGGTCTCTTCATCCGCTAAGCTTCTCTCTCGCGATGAGAGGACCTCCTTTTCGTGCTTCCTTTTCCCCCCTTTCTTACGTGCAACGATTTTTCCACGTCCGACCCGCCTCTTTCCCCCAGCCACACGATAGACCGTTTTTTATTTCACGGTCTAAATATTATACCAGTGGAGAATCGGTAAGGAACGGAAAGAAAAAAAAAAGAACAGGGAGACCCGGAGACATGGGAAAACGGAGCGGACTCGAGAGAGACCGGACCCCGAAAAGGTTCCCCACCTGTCGATGGGGCTCATCGCCCTTGCGTGTCTCCGCAATAATGTTCGAGCCTCACGCTTCCCTCTGGCCGCGAATTCGTCAATGTAAACTAGGCGTATTTGTTCTCGTCGCTCTTCTCTCTTTGTCCTCGGATCGGTCCGACCTTGACGTTTCTCGACGGAAAGAAAGGACGGTTCGTGCCGCCCAAAAGTCAACACGGTTAGCTCGGACGACCAGCAACTCCTTCTCTCGTGGGGAACAAGAAATTTCTTTTTGAAAACTCACTTTTTTCTTCCTCTCGTGGCAATATTGACAGACGGAGCTTGGGGTGGGGAGAGAGAGAGAGAGAGAGAGAGAGGAGGTTTCTCTTGTGTCTGATCGATAGGAATGAGAGAGGAAGACTTGCTCTCTCTCCCCTCGTCGTTTCTCCCATCTCCTTCCAAGTTCGTCCATTCCATATATCCCCACTCCCCATCCCGCATTTCATTTCATCTCGTCTCATTTCATTCCACAGACGTTCGTTCCCATGCGGGTTCATCTTTCCGCTCGAAGGAAGCTTCATCTCGGCAGGAACGATCTCGATTCCCGCCCCGGTGAGACTTCGAGGAACGAACGGACCGCTTTCGACACGGATTCCACGCGATCGGCATCGTTTCCGCTTTCGCCCGCGAGAGTTCGCATCTCATAGCGCATCTCATCTAATAGGTCATCGGAACGGTCAACGAAGGACTCGGCTGCTGGGGACCCGAATGTGCGGTCGAGCGGAGGGGAAAGGGGAGACGAACGATTCTTTCGTCTCTTCCGTCTGGGCGAGGAAATGCAAAACCGAGGATCTGCATGCAGACGTCTTCCTTTATCACGTATGCACGTCCACGTATGAAATGCTTTTGCATTCGCTCGCGGTCCTCGGAGAGTCTCGGACGCCAGTCGAAAGCGTCCTAGAAAAAAAAGGAGTCGTGGAGGAAAGAGGAAAAGGCATGGCAATTCTTCCATTTTAAACGCGGAATGCCTTCTTATGCATGCAGGCTGGTGAATTTTATCGAGGACTCCCATTTGGCTGTTCCCGCAGAAAATTTTCATCCGAAAAGCCTCGGCTCCGAACATTTGCATGAGATCAGAGATGCTTCCTTTTCTCCTTTCATGAGATGTATTTGCCTTCCAGGGCTTCCGAGCCTCCCGCATGCGATAACGAAACCGAGAACCCGAAAAAAAAAAAAGTTTACGCATTGGATCGTGGGTGCGAATGCCACGGTCGAGAGTCGAAGTCTGCTTTCGGGCCGGGCCGATTCGATTATTTTGTCGTCTCCCTGCACAGATGAACGATGAGATGGAGCTGCGATATACAATGAAGGGGGTCGAAGGAAAAGAAGACAGGGATCTCTATTAGACTCTTATTGGATTTCGAGTGGCAATATGTGCAGGGGAATCCGATTAATTCCAGAGCCACGCGCACACAAAGATCCGAAGAAGGTAAAAAAAGAAATGGGAAAAAATAGAAACGAAAGCGAAAACAGATCCGCATTCGGTTGGTTTCCCGGCACGGACGATTTATTTCTTGCACGCACACGCAATCGTGCGCGCCTCTCGACGCACACGCAGTCGTGCGCGCCTCTCGCCTCGTTAGAACGCCTCGCACAATTCCGTCCTAACGAACCTCCCTCTCGTGCAAATTGAGAAACCCCCTCATTAGGAGAGAAACCCCCTCATTAGGAGGAGGAGACGAGCGACATTACTATGCATGGACTCGGCCTCGATTTTCTAGGATTCGCATTGTCCATTTAAGATGGGAAAATGCTTTCTTCTGTCAGGCAGAGGAAGAAGGAAAAAGGAAAAAGGAAAAAGGGAAATGGGGAAAAGCGACGGAAGTGATTGCTTGGAGCTCTCGCTGTGGAATCTCCACCTCCGGTGTGTCTATCGCTTAACGGTTCGACTGCCGGCGAACTCGGTTTGGGGCACGGACGTCAACGGTTAAGAGTCATCGAAGGAGTCCGGGATTTCCCAGGGAGTCCGGGATTTCCTTGTTGAGACGGGACCTCTATGCTCCGTGTCTTCGTTACCGGATTGAATTTGTAGCCGGGAAGGTACAAAAATCGTCTTTTTATCTTGTCGATTCGTCGCGGAGGACCCATGAAAGAAACCATAGAGACCATCGTATGGAGAAACCATGGAGAATTTGAGTCTTCGAAAGTGCCCGCCCGAGTTAGTCGGTGGAGAATTCAAATCGTTTCTCGTCGACCTGCTAACGTTCGTCCGTTAATTTAAGGAAGAGATAGCGCTATTACGCGTGCACGCATTAATGCCACATCCCCGGCGATATACTGTATATGTCGTGGGGTTTTCTGGAATTTAGGGGGGATTTCGAATCTCCCTAGCGGGAGGCGGAATTTCGATAAACCAGTGGGTTTAGCGAAATCGTGAGGACGTGAATAAACCCTCGGGAGATCGGTAAATCTCCCCGACTCGACGATTTTCGTCGCCCCCGCTTCACTCGTCTCGCGGGCGATTCTCCGGACGGCTCGCCGAAGACCGAGGAGCGTCTACTGCCTGCGTTTAGAGGCGTTTCGGAGAGGCGTGCGGAAGGCTGTGGTCGTTTCGACGAGCGAAGAAATCGCCGAAGGATCCGAGTGCGAGTCCTCGAAACGTCGACGTGCCTGGAGACTCCCGTCGGGGTCATCGGAGAGGACCCCGAACGTTCTTCAGAGTTCTGGAATGGATATTAAGTCCCGACAGTTTTCGCACTCGGTTCATTTCCCGTTCCCGTCCGCATTCCGCAAACTCTATTGCCGGAATGCGCCGAACGAGCAAGTCGCCTCGTGGCGTCTCGACGCCTCTCGACGCCTCTCGACGCCTCTCGACGCCTCTCGACGCCTCTCGACGCCACGAGGGCAGGGAGAAGCGACAAGCTTGCCGAAGTGCAAGAAGTCGTCACGGGGAAACGCTTCTTCTTTCGTTTCGACATTTAAATGTTTCGACTAAAATGCAAAACGGCACATCCCCCGGGTGTCTTCGACGATTCCTTTTCCCCCAGGAAGGAAAGAAAGCGAACGAAGCCAAACCGAATCGTTTCGAATTCCCCAATCGGAAAGCGATCCGACCGGAAGAAAGTCTCGAGACGATCCCACGAAGTCGAAAGTCTAAAACCGAGGAGAATAAAAATCGCTTCGACGCATTCGAAGGACGAACGCGCGATTCCACGCAAAACTCTCCCGGAATCCTACGAGATATTTTTGAAGATGCAGCATCGCAGCTGCGGCATCGCATCAAATCATCGGAAGATTGCACGAAAAAAAAATGTCGGGAATACTCGGTCCCTCCAGCTGATCCTGGAACTGCCAAGGAATCGCGGAGCAAAATCGAGTCGCTTCGGCTTCATCAGAAACCGGATGGAAACCGGATGGAAAACGTTACGGATCGGCCGCGATCGCGAATTTCAGAAAAGAAGAGGAATTCGAAGATCGGAAGCTGAGAGAGAGGCTGGGAGGAACGAGAGAGTTTCTCAAACTGCTGCGTTTCGTCGTCGAGTTCCTCATCGGTGATCGGTTTCAGATCCGTCGAGACCAGACGACCCTCGAGTTTCCATGGGGAATGACCGTTTTTCCCTAGCAACCGGAGGAAAAGCGATGATCCCCGATTTCCTCGAAACCGGCGGATCCTCTCCGGCATCTAACGAGAAAAAGGTATAAATCGCACTGCTGCCATCGGCGATCGATGTGGCTCTCGGCGGCACCGTCGAAAACCGAGGAATAAGTGAGTCTTCTCTTCCCCCGGCATCGAACGAAAAGCAGCACGTCACCCGCTAAATTTAGACGGAACCGAGACGGAATCTTCGACGCGAGATTCATCTGGAAATTTTCCTCGACGGCCGACTCGGTTCGAGAGTCAAAACAAATCTTACCCTTGCCGCGGAATCGTGGAAACGCCGTTGCGGATCGCATCTCGGTCAGACGTAAAAATCGCAGGAACCTTTCGCGAGTTCTCGCCGACCTGTCGCGGACGCGGGCGTTCGCCGCGGGGCTCGGAACTCCCGCGAAACGATCGCCGAGAAAGCCGACGATCCTCCGAGAGAAAAATTTCGCACTCGGACGAGATTATCTTTCATCGCGACAGTTATGAGATACGAGTTGCATTTTTTCATCCTCGGTCTCTTTCTCTCTCTCAAAGTACCAATCTCTTTAATTTTCTGTAATGTGCAGTTTCCTTCCTCTCGGTTTTCTTTCCCTCTCCGTCGGAGAGGCGCGACGACCCCGGAACGAGGCAATAAATCAGCCTCACTGTTTAAAAATGAAATGCTTGCGTTGAATGCTAAAAAAAAAGAAAAAAAAAGTACATCTGACTGCGTATCTCTGCCCCGCACGTACGATCCGCGTAAATTCGGTAAACGAGAGCGCAGAAGACACGAGAGGAAAACCGATACGAGACGGAACCGATGGACGAGGCCACTTGCTCCTAAGAGGATTCCATTTCTTCCTCTCCGTGTCGTCTTCGATTCTTCTCCCCTTCGTCGAAGCCGACCGATCCGGTTCTGCCGACCGAAACGTCCTCTCGAATGACGGCCGACGAGCGGAAACGGCAAGGGAGAGAAAGAGTCGTGGCGGCTATCTCTCTCTCTCTCTCTCTCTCTCTCTCTCTTTCTCTCTGTCGATGGATGGATCTCCTGACCGCGAGTAAATGCGGGATCGCACGCGAGAAATCCATCGGAAATTGTCGTTCTCGAAAAAACGATGCATGCGCTCGAGTACTCGCGACACCCTTCGCACGGTACACACCTCGGTACACGCTTCGGTACTCGCTTCGGTACTCGCTTCGGTACTCGCTTCGTACTTGGGGCTTCCTTCCGCTCGGATCGATCGGCCTTCGCGGTCGCTTTCGCGGTCGCTTCGTTTTGACGATGATGGGATGGGCTGCTTGCTTTCGAATTGGGGCTATCTCTATCGACCGTGTCGTTGTGCTCCCCGCTCTCGGTGGGTACAACGGGATAAATTATCGCTCATACGGAGGAAGGAAGATGAATTCTTCGGCAGGGTCTCCGAGGAAGGAGGGCAAGGAGGGAAGAGATCGAGGAGATAAATTACCGAGATTCCGTCTATGCCAGCACTTAAGAGGTCCGATCGGAAAAGTTCCGGGAATTAATTTTTTATGACGCTACGGTGACCCGTTCCGGCTATCGATGGCCGTCTCCGACGAAGTAGTCCCTTTCGGCATCGACGCAACTTTTCCAGCGCTTTTTCAGGGGCTGGAAGCATTTGCCGGCACTCGCCTTTGGGAATCGCCAGCAGCGATCGCCGAGCGATCTTTTCTCTTTCGAAAGAGAGAGGGAGAAGAGTGGGAGGCAAGGTCGTGGTTTCTGCAGCAAGGCTCAGGTCTATCACGTCATCGCCGTGCAGCAATTTCTGACCTGTTTGGGATTCGATCGTCGTAGCAGAACTTGGAGACTCAAAACCTGCACAAAAATCTAAGCAGATATAGGAGACTGTGCTCTCTA